GGCAGCGTAATCGGGCTGCTAACCTCAAGGTCGGCAGTTCGAAACTACCAGCTGTTTCTCGGGAGAAAGATGAGGCTTTCTGCTCTGGTAAAGATTTGCAGGGTCGTTATGAGTCGGAACCAACTCCACGGTACATAACAACAGCAATAACCCATGTGTCCTGATGTGGCGCGGTGGGTTAATGCGCCAGACTGCAAAGTCGGCAGTTCAAACTCACTAGCTGCTCCTCGGAAACCCTATACAGGGTCGCTATGGGTCAGAATCTACTTGGCGACACTTAACAACCCATTCCCCTAACTTCTTGTCATCAACTTTAATCAGGTTGATTTGGTGTTCAGCACATAAGGCCTCTGTCTTGAGCACCTCTGTAAAGCAGTGTTAACGTTCATTACACCGCCAGCTGCAATGCCTTCCTTGGCCATTACGGAAGTTAGTACGGAATCTTGAACGCACCCAGGCCTCGGCCTCTGCACAGCTTGGCAGCAACAGGGAGCAAGGTTACTTCCCTTTTAATGAATTTACACCACTCCGAGGAGTTGAGACCTTACAGTTCTCTTCTACTCAGACTAGAGGCTCTTTGAGGGAAGGGACATTCATTATCTTGGTGGCATCTTAAGTTCACAGCACAATGCCCAAATGTTGACTGAAGAAAAGCGAAATGGCTATTTGATACCAGGATTTATTACAGCAGCTTACAGGACCCTAGCCATGCCCTACCATGACAATGACCATTCTTGTCCCTGTTTTACAAAAACGAAGGCTATTTAAAGTTGGTTTTATAAGACGTGTGACAGAACCCTGCCCTCCCCGCTCGGAGCTGACTTTCTCAAACTCTAATACCAGTCTTATTGTTGTGAAGCAAAGGGAGCCCAAGATCTCACCTTGAATAGAGTTTGCACGTGGTGAGTCCATGAGGAACCTGTACCAGGCCTTGACCTCCCACACACATTCAAGTACAAAGAAAAACGGACACACATAAACGGCAACTCGAGTGAAAATAGTAAGTATTCTTTCTGCTCAGTTGGAGCAGGTTGAGACTTAGGATGCTGGCTTTCTGTTTTAAAAAGTAAAAAACTGGTGTGTCCTGCAATTACAATTAGGCAGCTGGTCCTCTCTTCCATGCCTCTAGGTACTAGACTGGCAAGAAGCTCTTTGGGATTCTTACTTCTTTACTGCTAAGGAGTCCTGGTGTGGCACTGTAGGATAAGCACCAAACAAAGTCACTAGGAGCTGGAAGCTGCAAGAATGGAGTCGACAACATATATAAAAAGCACTTAAGAATTATTCTATGGAAAATTCAGGTATAGTCACAATCTGGTATAGACCTATTGAAGAATCATGAGGAAGTTTTAAAAAAGGTCTTTTCCCTCAGGTTCAAGATGAGGCTATCTACACCCGTAACGATTTAGTCTCGGAAACCCTAAGGAGCAGTTCTACTCTGTCCTATGTGGCCGTGATGAGTCACTGGCAGCTCGATGGCAGTGGGCATGGCATCAGGTACTGTGAGATCATCTCTGTGGATGTGTTGTGGATATAAAAGATGTAACCACCTTCTGTCTCTAACAAAAGTAGAAAACTGAACAGAGAACACTGGAAATAACTTGGGGGAAGGGGACAGGAGGAACATCAAGAGAAAAAGAAGATACATCAATGTTTATTAAAATCTTTATTTTCTTTTCAGAATCGAAACCCATAGAACACATTAGAAACAGGTTTGCATTTGTCTTGTTTGGTGTCTTACCAAGTACAACCTCTGTTTGTGCAACCACTCTGAGCGGACATTGTTAGCAGACCAATACAGATAACAAACAGTGGCTCATACACCTCCCTTAAACAATAAATTAGCTTCCTTGTAAGTTCTCCCTAGCTCCCCCACATTTTGTTTGTAACACCTTGGTTCCTTAAACCTGTGACAGCAGTACACACCCAGTGCCTACCTTTCACCACCCAGCCTTGAGGAATGGAGACGCAGGCCTTCTCCTTCAAAGGCCATTTCATGCACTCAGTCTGGTTGGTACGCCCAGAGCTGGTCAGTTCGTGCTTAAGGAATGAGTGGTCTTTATAGTGTCCACCTAACAACCTTGTACTAGCCTACTTCCAAGACCTTTGGCAACATAAGCCAATGTTTCCCTGTGTCAAAATAAATACACTTTCTTGCTAGAATACATATAACTATATACATACATACACCATTACTCATGTGTCCTGAAGCTCAGTATCACAGCATGACTCATACAAGGCAGCCACAGACAGACACGGGTTTACTTGCATTCAGGTGTGGTCAATTACAAGTCAAACAAGAATGTGGGATGAAGGGAGAATGGTGGGTGGGGAAGGGGTTAAAGAAAAGGAAGATGGATTTCATGGAAAGAACATGTTGCCTTCAGGTGACACTGAACAGCAGTCATATGAATGATTCATCTTTTCCAAAATAACATGCAGTAGATAGACCTGGATGCCTCCACTTCCTTTTCATGTGACATAGTAACCCTGAGTGCACACCAGGGGAATTGGACAATCCTCTAAGCAACATCTGGTCCAGCTACCAATTTGTTTTGCAAAGGAAGTCCCTTTCCAAGCCTATAATACAGATTCAAATAACAATTTTAGAATGAAAACTCTCTATCTACATTTCCCTACTCAAACTACTGAATAAATATTTTTAAGTGGGAGGTAAGCATAAGCAGCAGCCAGTTCCAATTTTCCTAGTTTTTAATTAAAATGTATCCATCCACATCTTCTTTTAGATGCTAGCTAGGCACACCAAACAGTACTGATCAAACACCAAGAACCCCTCCAAGAACTTGCTTTGATTGTAACAACACTAGATTCTAATAAATAAACACCTTAAACCATAAAGAGGACAGCATTATAACTCTTTTAAAACAGACATCTACCTCTTTTTCCTAAATAGAACTCGGTGCTCATGAAATGTAGTGTCATAAATTTGGTTACCGCTAAGGTTGCCTAAGCACACTTTTCCAGTTTAATGCAATCCTGACTTAAACTTAAAATCCTGAGAACATAAAGTTCTCAGATGTCATGTTCTGCCACTCTATAATTCTCACTTTAACTATTACAGATCTGAACATCCTTTCAACTTTGAATTTGAAATCCACAGGGAAAGACAATGAAATGATACATTTTCTGCAGTGCTATGAAGGATGAGACATTTTTTTAAAGTAGCTTTTCCTCCTAGTAGAATTTTTTATCTTCAATGTTATAAAGCTCTCAATTTTTACTCACTCCATTGTATCATGTGTCTGAAAAAAACACTAATCCACAATTTAGTTCAATTACCATAAATCAAGAACAGAATTCACATCTTATCGGCTCCCTCCAGCTGCCTCCTAGACACCAAGAAGGGCTCTCCAAAGTATTCTCAAGCAGAATTGTGAATTTCTCCGCACACACACAGTAAATTGCTAAGATTAGAATCAATGCTTCCTTCTGTTAACACTATTTCAGTGTTTTGTGCTAGTGTCTGCCTTTTAAAAGTCAATACTTTTTATAATAGCCGATGCTGTGCCCATCTCAAAATGTATATATACACAGTACAAAAGTCCCTTAATTTCATGCTATTTTAAAATAATTACAGGTTACTCAGTTATCTTTCAGTGCAAGATAACTGGGGCATAAATTCTAAACTTGTTTCTCTCAAAGCTCAGGCACCTAAAACGGTCTCCGGTAACTGACAGTAACTTTGTCCATCACACTGTTTATAGATATTAGAGGGACAAAACCGGAACAGTTCTTGGACAAGATGCATGAGAGAAACTTGCAGCTCTGAGGACACAGCAGAGCAGGCACATGGGACCTGTCCTCAAACCTGTATTTTACTACAACCTGAAAAAATCACTTTGCCAGAATACAGCCGTAAGCCTGGGTCTTAGCAACCTCAAGCTTTCTTGAGAACGCTCAAGAGGAGGCAGGAAGACAACACAGCATCATGGGCTCAGAACTCCAAATGAGACTCAAGGATGAAATTAGGGTTTGCCATAAATCAAAATCTTAAGGCTCCTCTTGGAACTTCCTTCATGTCAAGGCTCAGTAGGCTAAGATCTTGTTTTGCATGGCCCAGCCACCAGCAGGGTGTGCACTGTCATCTGTAGATGGGAGTATTTCTCACAAGGAAGGCACAAACAGCGTTGCCAGTCTCTTAAGAACAGCAACTTTGATGGCCAAATGCCATCAGGGCAGAGGAAGAAATTCATCTCAAAAGAGAAATGAGGATGGTAGAGATCACAGGCAATCTGACTCCTATCTGAATTGTTTTTCAATTTGCTTTGTTAATTTAGAAAGAATTTGCTGGCTTTAGACAAATGGGGAAACAGAAGATAATTTTCAGAAGAGAATTATGCTTGGGATATTAATACTATTTTCTCTAGACAAATTTTTGGTTCATCTGGACACAACTGCAAGACTGCAGATTTTCCTTAGGTAATAGTGTCATCTTTGCTGTTTTACATACTTGAAGAACTTAAACACAAGTTTTCTGTAATGGTCTCCATATGAGATTCAAGCACCTCCCCCATTCTGGTTCTACCAAGTGGGTCTCTCTCCTTTTCTCCTCTACAAATTATCAACAGGACTATTATGGAACTGGTTAAGCATCATCCCTGCTTTTGCCTTTCTCTCCAACTCTATCCCCTTAAAATATGTCCCCTCCAACAGAAAGTGCTATTTTGGCTCAACAGGATACAAGGTTTTACTTGCTGCCGGCTCCTTAGGAGGCAGTAAGAGTTCCAATTTGACCAGTCCTGGTCAAAAAAAAAGACACAAGAGATTACAGAGTTTTCGGAAAATCCACAGATATGGAGAAAAGACTGTAAGATTCAACTCAAGACACACACTTCAGAACCAGTCTTGGCAAGTACTTATCAAATGTCACACCTGTACGAGTCCTTTGGCATGGGAAATGAAAACTGACCCGACGACCACTGCTAGGAGGAGTACAAGGAAGTCAGTAGGTGGTGCAGCAGGAGCAACTCCATGGTCTGACACCAAAGACATCCAAGGCCACGCATCCCTATCACCAGAACTTGCTGCTGGCCATTTCTAGGCCACCAGATACCATTTGGAATGGATTGTGCTGTTTTTCTATCTTTGTAGAAAGAAGTTTCATGTTCTGTGTTGACAATTACAAGTGGGAGAGAGGCATCCTGTCTTCCACCAGCACAGTGTCCACCCCAAACTGGTCAGTGCACTGCTTCACGGTGGCAAGGACACTCAGGAGCCTCTGGTCCATGGCATCCAGGTGAGGGTCAGAGAGCACTGGAGTGATGGGGTCATGGGCCAGGGCTGATTTTAAGGCAGACTTCAGCACACCATTCTTTAAGTAGTTCAGTCTGTTCCAGGTAGAAACCCGAATGCTGGAAGGAAAAAGTTTAGGATATGTTACATAAAACCTCACACTATCAAATGGAGCTTAAAGCATGCTTGACAGACACAAGTAAAGAAATAATTATGTAAAATATTTCAACTGGGAAACTCATTAATGTATTGCCTCTACATTAAAAGTCACATTACTTCATTTTGATTTTTTTTCTGGGTAATTAATCTGAGACATACATGAAGATTATACATATTTTTTTGTGAAAAAAAAGGGAAATAGTTTGAATGTCCTAACAATCAGGAAATAGTTAAATAAATTTGGCTCATCCATTCAAGGGTATACCATGCAGTCTTTGGTGGCATCGAGAAAATACCTATAATATAGGTGGGTGAAAAAGTTGAAAGAGGACCTGTTTAATTCCAATCTATGGGAAAATAAAAATGTCTGTGTATATGTGTATTTGTATTCACACACAATTAGAATAAATTATAACATTATTAGAAGTACTGGTGTGACGCTATAGAATAAGCATTAGACTGTTTACCATCAAGTTGGCAATTCAAACCAACCAGCCTAGGAAACCCTCTACAGGGTTGCTATGAGTTGGAACTGACTCGATGGCACTTAACAACAGCAACAACAATGCATTAACAGGAGTTAGACTTAGATGTTAATGGACAATTTTATTTTCTTATTTACAGGTAGGTCCCAGGTACTGAATGAGATTCGTTCCTAAGTATTTAAATCAAATTTAAGGGTAAGTCAGAGCAAGTGCACAAGGTCCTTATTTAGCCTTAGTTAGTGCAACAAAAGGTTCCAAGTCTGCTCAATGATTTAAAGCTGCATAGGCAGCGAGTGAAGGTGACTGTGATAAAGGATTTGTTACAAGTAGAGGTTGGTACAGTCATTTCCAAGTGATACCAAATTTAAGTAACATTAAAGGGCAAATAGAGTCCTGGTGTGGCGCTGCAGGATAATGCACTGGACCCCAAGGTCGGCGATTCTAATCCACCAGCCGCTCCTCAGAAACCCTACAGAGGGTCACTATGAGTTGGAACTGATGGCATTTAACTACACCAAACGGTAGATTGTCTATAAGTTGGATGTTCATAATATGGGGATGTATAATGTTTCTGATTTTAAAATTTTCTACCATTACTATTATAAAACAGAAAAAAATTATACTACCAGTACACCTGCTTTTCTTAATTATTTGACAAATTAACGAGTACCTTCTACCTTAGCAGAAAACTTTTTTTTCCCAACTAATTACTTCCCTGTGGAGAAAGTGGGGAATAATAAAGTAGGTGTGCAGAAAAGCTGACATAAGGCTTCAGGTCTGAGAATAAAGCACGAAGGGAGAGGCCAGCAGAGATGCTGCACAGTTTTGCTCTTTTAAAATGGCATCAGGGCATCCTCTCTGTGACTAATCTATCAGTTCAATGCCTCTCAGTCCCAAATTCACCCTGCAATGTGTGTTCTGTTACAACAGACATCGCTCCTGTTATGCTGCCTCAGTAGAGGGCACTGGAGAAGCACTGCAGGAGGAATAGGCTGTTTTGCCACCTGCATCGTGGGTCTGCAGTGAGGACCCCCAACAGAGCAGCTCTGTCCCCGTCACATGACACTGCAGCCTCTGCCTGGCCTGGTGATAACCTGACTGAGGCCTTCTCATCAAGGAAACCAGTACCCATATGGGGCGATTCCCTAAGCGCAGAACATGGCTTGCCTGCAGCCCACAGAGTTCATGTTGCAGCTGCTTCCTGCTTGCCTAGCACCTGCAGACCAGCTCTGGCCTGGGCAATCCAGTAACTTTCTCTGCTACAACTTCTCCAATGAGGTCTGAACCCCAGGCCTTGGGAAGTGGACCTTGACAAATGTGTCCTTCTTTGTCCCTCAGCCCTGGTTTTCTTTCATTAGAGTTTAGCACTTCTTTATATTACACTTATTTTTGTCTAACCTACTGAATCTTTTCTATTTTTAAAATGGATTGGGCTGATACACTATTTATACAAAAATAGCCTCCTGTAAAACCAAATACAATTTTTCAATTGTAGGGGCCACAAACGATTAAGCGTTCATCTATCACCTGGAAGGTTGGTGGCTCAAAACCACACAGTGGCTGCTTGGAAGACAGGTCTGATGATTTGCTTCTGAAAGGTCAAGAGCAGTGCTACTCTGACACCTACAGGGAAACCAGGAGTCAACACCAACTGGATGTAATGAACAACTGTCTTTATATAGTCAGGTAAGGTGAATGCCAGCTGACTCTTGATCTCATGCTTTCAAACCATACCAGCAGTGTGATAAGCTCAAAAGAAGCTCCTTGGAGCCCAATCATTTTCTTGATTTACGTTTTGTTTTGTTCCTAACATAGACTTAGGGGAAAAGTTAGTTACTGTTAGTTTAGACAACTTTAAACTGAGATCTGTACCCTCAGGTAGGATGTGGTGTGAGAGGGAGAGGACAGAATAGCACACGTTTCCACATGGTACAATTCTCAGAGGCATAACTTTTCCTTTTTTTATTTTCTAACTTTTTATTGTGATTTAGGTGAAAGTTTCCACTCATTAATTCATACCCATTTTGTTTTGCGGCACTGATGTGCAGTTCTTACAATGTAACAGGACTCTTCCCACCTCCTCCCTGTGTTGACTATTCCCATTCATCCATCTTTCCTATCTCCCTTCCTGCTTTCTGAGATGTATCCTTTTGATTTCATATTGTTGACTGTTCTGAAGAGTGTGCACTGCCTGGTGTTAACTGTTCACTTTATAGGCATTATTTACAGTTTGGCTCAGCTTTGAGGGGTGAGTTCCATTCTAGGCTTGGAAGATGTCTAAGGGCTCCACCAATCCTTATCACACCAGGAAGCCTGGTCTTTTTTGTGCTTTTCCACATTTTCCCCACTGTATCCATGGCCTCCTATTGTGATCCCTCCTTTCAGAGTGGTGGGCATACCAAGTTCTTCAGGTCTCAGGCTATTGGAGGCTGTGGCGTGCATGGTCCATCAGTCCTTCAGATTACAGTTTCCATGCATCTTTTTTCTTTTCTTCATTCTCCTTTGCTCCATAAGGAGAAAGACCAAGGTGCACTTTAGAAAACTGCTCACAAGCTTGTAAGACCTTGGTCACTACTCATCAAGTAGGATGTAGAACACTGTCTTTGCGACTATGTTATGCCAGTTGACTTTGATCTGGAGCACAGGTTTTACTAGAAGATTTTTAATTTTTTAGGTGAAGGAAAAGGAAATTATATTTTGACATTTAAACAAACATGGATCATATATTGTTGAAAAGAATGCAAAAATTCTGAGCTTTGCATTACCTTTCCCTGCTCCCTATCCCAGGATCTCCAGGAGTTCTGGGCTGAAGAAGTGTGGGAAACAGGGCTCAGGTACCAGGATGCTTTAAAGTCATGAACATGGTTGCACCGTTACCTGAGACTGGGAAAGCAAGGAAGGCAACACATGCATCTGACATCTGTAACTTACATGCAGCACTGATAGAGAGGGGCGAGAATGCTTCTCTCATCCAGTGAGGGGTTCCCAAAGCTGAAAAGCAAATGAAAACTTAGTGAATTAGCTGGAAGCACCAGTGCCCTTCTTAGCATCAAAGCAATGAAATTCCCGCCTTAGCATCAAACTCTCTTAAGAAATCCAAATGTGATCCTACATCATTTCACACCCCAGCAGCTCAAATCACTTAAACTGAAAATTAGCAGGGTGTGACCACATAGACACAGGATCCCCAGTAGCCTGTACTGAAGTATCAAACAATAAATACAACAACTTACAAGGACCCCTTTTCCTACCAAGATATTGCAAGGTGCCAGAGCATAACGATGGTAACAGGGCAGAGATACTGTTAACTGAAGGGAGAATTTTAAGATTCCCAAGCCAGAAACCTTTTAAGGGGTAAGGAGAGGCACAAAGGCTAGTCATATCAGATTCCATAAACAAGTACATGCTCATTACTTGTACAAAGGGGTTATACTTGTTCTACCCCTAAATTACCAATCAGAAAAGACCGGCTTATCCTATTCCATACAAGTGCCCGAACAAATTCACACTGCTTTCAAATTGCTCTTGGAGGTTTAGAAAACACTGATTCAAAGCAGAAGTAAAAATGATCTACAATGTCATTCAGAAAACTCTCTATCTCCCACCCTGTTCCAGGGTGCTCACCTCAATAACTGGAGGGGGTCTGATAACCCTTAGTGCTGGGCATCCCTCAAAGAACTGATGGCAAAGGCAACTATTCTCACCTTATATTTCTGTCATACAGGAGTTTTTTGTTTTTGTTTTTTTAATCACTTTCGCAAGGAAGGGTAAAGATTTTTCGGAGTATATGTAAGCACTGGCCACCACCTGCTTTGCTGTGTGATGGGAAAAGGGAGCGGCATTGTTTGCTGGCTTCTCACTTTCTGTAGCTGCCACCATCTTTCATGGAGCACAGGGCACTTAATGTTCCACAGAGGTTGGCAGCGGAAGGCAGCATCATTAGCAAATGCTGTGCACATACTCTTTGCTGATGACCTAAGTCTCAGCTTATTCCCAGGACCACATTAGCAGTAGTGATCTGGTGCATGGAAAATTCTGGGCTTGAGGGAAGTATTTTATTTAGTAAATACTTATTCAGTGTAATTCAAAGTGTGGCACTGAATAGGGCACCATCAAGACAGCAAACTGGAAATAAACTCCAAACAGCTCAATAAAAATAAGGACAGAAAAATAATGTCCCCCTAAAAGAAAATAAATAAGAATAGTACATTTATTCAAAATGAATATACATTTGAATGAATATACTTTAAAATAAAGTACGTTGTCTTTATATATAATCACTAAACAACTGCTCTCTTCCCATGGTAATAAAAAAGTTGGGCCTAGACCACCATAAAAATTGCAAAATATCCTATCATCAATTTTTAAAACTTTCATGAACCGTGGATAGAACACATTTAATAGTAACTAAGTTCCATGTCCTATTAAATTTGTAATTTCCACGTTTCTAAATAGTATAGTCCAGCAAAGCTATAAGGAGGGGTAAAGTTAGAGCCCTTGGTCTCAAGGTGTCTGTGAAGAGTCTCACAGTCTTCAACTCTTTGGAAAGAGCCACTTTCCCTGTTTTGAAAGTGTTGAGACCCTTGGGGTAGAGGGAGTATACACCTGAGCAAGACAGGAGAGGAGTGTCAACAGTGAGGGCCCTGGGCAGGAATGGGAGGGGCACCTTGTACTCAGTGACACCCAACTGACAAGGGTGGCTCTGCCAGTCCTACCTTTTGGCATTATCAAGAAGGATGAGCATACTGGCACCTTCGTCATCCTGAAAGCTCTCATAGTGATGCCGGTCAGCATTGCCAATCAGATAGTCAAAGACAGCTGTGTCGATGATGTCCAGGAGGCGTGGGCCCGAGTCATAGGGGGACGTCTTCTTCACAGCGTCACAGTAGCTCTCATCATACTCCCACCTGGAGACAAGCGGCAGCACCAGGTTATTTACTGAGTGCAAATACAGTCTGGCACTGTTTCAATCACAGAAGGCAGAGTCCCTGCCTCTGACACCCACAGTCTTTTGATTGTTGGTGAGAACCCCTGACTCTCATACAGCCTGGCACCTGGCCAGGTGCATGGAGAGAATGAAGCAATGGTCCAAAAGGGCATTTACCTGGCCAATTTGCCCTCTCGGTAAGTCCTGCCCCAGGGGTGCCTGTGTTTCTGCAGCGGCCACACATCTGGGAGCCAGAGTGTGGCAGATCCCTCCATCGTGTCTCCATCAGCACAAGCTGGCTCTGTTTCTCGGCAGTAGTAACACTTCCCATAGAAACAAGTATTGTTTCCTAAAGGAGAGGAAGGAGTCAAATACTTAAGAAAAAAATCGAAGATTCCAAATTCTCCTCAATCTAGAAAAGATCATCTGAGTAAACACGTACTTTGAAAGCACATATCTAGAGCTTACTGCATTTAAAACATTTATTTTCTAATTAGGTATTAAAAGCATATGGTGTAAAAAATTCAAAAGGTACCAAAAAAAAAAAAAATATATATATATATGTATATATATATATACTAAAAAGTAATGCTCCCCCAATATCCCCCACCTTTGTGTCCCTTCTACTCAATCTCTCTAGGGAGTCAACTATGGTCACCAGGAGCTTTCTGAATTCACTTAAAGGAAAGCAATGACTCTTCTCCTTCATTAGGGCTGAGATTTTGGCCAGAGTGTCCAGGGGAGAGAGGAGGCATGTCTGGGGTTAAGCTGTGGCCAGCAGTTTGATTATATACAGGGAGCTCAAACAACTAAGTAAACAGACTGAGGATAATGGTAGCCAGATTTTTTACAGATGAATATATAGAAAAAAGGAATACTAAATAATTCTGTAGGTTAGAATTAATGAGGTTAGAACAGGAAACGTTGGTATGAATTGATTGTTTTAATAATCTACACAGAGACACAGAAAGGATAAACATGTGCAATGATGCACATACATGTGTATGTGTATACAAACATACATTTCCTACTTCTGCCCATCGTGAGAACCTAGAGACAATAACACTCTGGTAGCACATAGGGTACAGAAGCTAAATACCACTTTAGCTCCATATGTAAATGAACCAGGGCTCCTTGAAGAATCAGCTGACAACAGGGTTGAGCAGGGAAAGTACATGATTGAGTCTGGAACATGTTATGTCAGTAAGTAAGTAAGTGCTCAGAAAATCCCCAATTTCCAAATGACACAGGAGCCAACTTGGAAAAGAAGATATACTTCTTGAAAGAAAGACTAGCAGGAAAAACCCAAAACAAAAATGACAGTCTGATTGGCCACTACAAGAACAAGCAAGTTGTTCACTGGGGAGCCATCAAGGCAAGCAATCAAGTCCCTCCAGGACAAACCTCGCCTCTAAGACTGAAACTCAAAGGGAACACACGATCAGGCACATAAGCTTGCTGCTGACCACATTGGTCTACTGGTGAGAGGAAGTGGGGGAAAGCAGCAAGGAAGAGGTAGGCTGAGTCTGACCAAGTTACACAGACCCCCATCAACCTGGAGTATGGTGAGAGCTGGTAGGCCCGAAGTATGGTGAGACCTGGGGACTCCTGAGCCCATGGACAAGGACATCATAGCCACAGAAAGCTAGAACTGAGAGTGAAAAAAAAATTTTTTTTAAAGAAAACAAGCGTAAATCACTACAATCTGATGAACTTGACTTTTACTTATGGATATGTTGTTGTTATGTGCCGTGGAGTTGGTTCTGACTCATAGCAACTCTGTACAGGGTTTCCGAGGCTGTAAATCTTTACAGGAGTAGAAAGCCTCATCTTTCTCCCATGGAACAGCTATGGATATAGTTGCTTAAAATACCAACCAAGAGGGAAAGAATCTTTACAGCAAGGATCATTCCCATTCCCTCTGAACACAGTGTTGATAGGGATGGGCAACTCAGATATTGGCTACCTAAAATGAGGGTGTGAGGAGAGGGATGTAAAGGCACGAAGTGACTGGCTTACAAGTTCTCAAAAAGGGAGTTTAGATTCACAGTGTGCAGAGGAAGGCAGAATCCCCACTGAGTGGTTTTCATGCTTTATAGACAGGTCTGGTGAAAGCTGATGAGGAGTAACTGTTATCATGACTAATTGTGATTGTTGCAACTGTAAAGGAAGAAGTTTTGTAGCAAAAATGGATGAGTGGTTATCTACAGTCCCGGAGTAGAGAACCCTGGGACCATCAAGGGAGAAGCATGGGAGAGGAGTGTGGGATCCTATCCAGAGAAGTGGTGATGCCAGAGATGAAGGCACAGATGATGACATGGAGAGAGAGTAGCTGAAGACTTTAGATTCATGGAGGGAGAGGGAATGTGTGCTGGTAGCCAGAGGGGCAGGCTTGCAGGGTGTGCCCTTTGGCTGTTTGAATGATTGTATATTCCTGAGTGTTTTGGTGCACATCCAAAAAAACAAATCAGAGAGAACAGAAGCAAAAACTGTTGGATGATAAATCATGCAGGGGATTGTAATCATTGCAATGAAATGAATATGATAGGATGAATGTAAAACTGATGTTCCTCTATGTGAATTATCACTCAAT